TAGCCTGGTTGAGGACAGAAATTTATCTCTGTGGCTTCCACCCTTTCAGCTCTACAGCCCAATTCCCCCATAAAACCACTGGAGTCTCACCTCATGCAGTTTCCACTCACCCATCCTGCACAAAGTGTTTTGCCCCGACTGAAGAGTCTCCTCCCAACACAGAAAGATGTGGAAGTTTAAAACAAGAAAGGTAAAGAGTATGAGAAATCATAGTACTGAAAATGAGCTATGAAAAAGCTGCTGTTAAAGGGAAGAACTGCTGTTAAAATGAGCATACACTCAACTCATACTTCTGCTGGCATTAACAGGTATCAGGAGAGGAAGATGATAAATGTATTTTTTTTTGTATCAAGTTAAGAAAAAGCCCTTAATTTCTACTTATCACATTGTTACATCTGCTATTGCTACTGCATGCCTTTCACATTTAGGAAATAATGATATAAAGCTTATTAATGTCTTCTAAATATTAATTAATTGTTTAGGATGTGTTTTCCATTATGTGAAATCAAAGTGTTACAAAAATCAAATTAGTATGTTAGCAAATATTTGGTCTAGAACTTGAATTGCTGTCTTGAGTAGACTAGCTCTATATGGACAAGGCCCCATCTAAACACTCTTTTCTGCTTGTATTTGTTTTCCTTACAAACAAACTGTCAGATCTTATATTCAACGATGTTTGAAATTATCAGTTTGGAAAATTGTGGACTACTGTCATCTTTGTTGGACATTTTCTGAAACCATTATGAAATGTGAATGAAACCATATTCTTTGGATGTATAAAGAAAAAAGCACAAATTGTGTCTTATTCTTTCAGCTATGCTTAGCTTGATGGCTTTAGTGTGACCCTGATCATCAGCCATTAACACAGCTTTTATTTTGCTTAAACTACAAGGATTTGCTTACACTACTATGGAGTGGTGTGTGGTTTGCACTGATTTACATGATGCAAATTGGATTAAAGGCAGTTTTAGTAGATTGTGCCTAACCTGATCCCTTTCTTTATACAAGATAATTTTCTTGACAAAGGTAATTCTGCAGACCTGATCTATTTGGCACTCAGTAAAGCTTTTGGCACAGTGACACATGGGAACCTGTTAGTTAAACTGAAGAGGATGAGGATTAGTAAAAGAATGTCAATACAGTCCTCATTGGACAAAGAGGAGACAATGGAGTGCGTTGTGTTGACAAATCAGCAGGCTAGATGCATACTGCTGGTGAAATTCCTTACAGAGCAGCATTTGCTTGGCCTTGGCCAAAGCCAGGCATCTGCCAGCGGAGGCTCTTAGTGAGACAAAGTTAAGAGGCTGTCAGGGACAAATGATGAGTATCTGGTGATTGGACCAAAAAAAAAAAAAAAAAAAAAAAAAAAAAAAAAGGAGGGCCCATAAGGTCACAGTAAGGCACAAAGTGAGAAATACAGCAAGGCAAAACAGAAAGTACACATAGTATACATAGAAGCTAAACACAGGAATTTCTGTTGTGAACTGGGCACTATCATTTGGAAACAAAAGAAGCAAAAGAAATCTTTGTTGATACTATTTGGCCAGAAGATGCCTGCTAGCTAGCACCATGATTGAGCTGTGGAAGCAGCAGAATAGACACTGGTTTACAGTCCAGGGAAATCTCACCCCTCTGAGCTCTTTCCAGCTGGATGTACTTGGCACCTTGTCCAAAACTGGTATATAATTATATAATTTCACCTGTGTTGAAGGAAACTCAACCCAAAACCAAAAAAGACCACACAAAAAGATGATACAAAACTGCAGCTTGGATAAGCAGAAAGAGAAGGCCCCCATTTACAAAATAAACCTATGAAAGCACAGGTTTAGAAGAGCAAAAGTGTGGAAGGGACATTATAAAGACATTAAAACACAGGAGAATGGTGAGCTAGCTCAAGTCAGGCTAGTATCATCAGGCAAGATGAATGGGAATAAAGTACTCAGAAATAAATTAAAGCTTAAAATTAGAAGTTTCTAACTATTACAGATGTGAGGATCTGCTGTTCCAGAAGAACAAAATGGGCAGGAGCAAAAAGTAAAAGATGATTTTTATCATCTGTTCTTCTGAATGAAACTACATGATTCCTGATTCCATTTAATGAATGAAACCACAGACAAGGAAGTGATGTCACCCAAGAAGGTCCTTCAAGGACAACTTCAAGGAGTGCTCAGTTGATTTCTTAATGAGCTTTTTTGTATCTTAGCTGCAAATACACGACACAGAGCATCCAGAGGATGAATGCACAAATTCTGGGAACAGCAATGCCATGAACACAGGCACAAAAAGCACAGTAGTACCCAAGTAAGATTTCCTAGCTAAAAAAAAAAACAAACCAAACTAAACAAACAAACGAATAAACCCACCAAAAACCTCAACAGCATTCTAATTCATCTCCACCTCTGACTTAGGAATCTCCATCTCTGACTTAGGAATATAATGTAAAGACCTGTATTATACCTAGGAGCTGTACTGTGCAGGTTTAAACCTCTGGTCTCTGCTCAGCTAAAGAGCTTGTTAAAATCAGTGGATATTTTCTGTAAAGAGTATTATTTAGCAGTATTATTGGCAAATGTATTCCCATACCTTAGGCATCCCTAACCAGTTTGTTGACTGCCTTGAGACTTACTTCTTTATACAGACATTGTCCTATACGGGTTTTCTAGGATCATTGATTTTAGTGTGTATATACTTCTTCAAAGGCTCTGCAAGACTTTGCATGACTCAAGGTTAAATATATTTATGTTACACACTTCTACTAAGCAACAGAGCCCTGATTTATAAAGTATTGATATGTGCCTTAAAACATGGCAAATTCAAAGCCAAGTTGATCTCACCTTGCTTTGAATCTTGACATTAATTTCTAAAATACATTCTGCATTATGTACATAGATGACTTTATTCACAACCTCAGAAATTAATGAAGCTGTGGTAGATCCAAAGCTATGCATTTTTTGACACTGGTCTAATCATAACATAATTTATATCTGGAGTGGTTTTCCTCCCCCTTATGAATCGTCTATGCATTATAAAAATCTCAACCTGAGATTACCTTATCTATATTTAGTGTGCTTACAGCTGGGAAGCCCTTACACAAATTTAACAGCTAATACTAGCAACAAAAGGGAAAAGATGTTCGAATTTTCAGCTATACCTTCAGTGGCACAAAAATAAATGCATTATTTCCAATATAATTTTAAAAGCCAGGGGTGCATCCTGACAGCTCATCTCCAACATGTGGGGGTGCTGAGCCCTCGGCAGCTGAGGTGCAGAAACACCAAGGACAATTGCACTGTGAAGGGTCACCTGAGATGACTCAGAGGGGCTTGCAGCTGGGCTGAAACCCCAGCTTCCTATTACACAGGGTAGAGCTTTTTCTGAAGCTATTTTGAGATGCAAGGTAAAAAGAAAAGCACAGGCGGGCAGTAAAGCAACATAGCCAGAGCTCAAAAGCAGGGGAATCTTTGCATAGCAAGAAGAGGCCTTCATTTTTTCATACATAAGTAATTTTCAGTTTTTGCTTTTTCATCCCACAGGTATTTCTTTAGAATGCCATTAGTTTCCACTGCATTAATTTAAAACCAGCAGATGAACAAATTTTCTAAGTGTTGAAAATTGATACCTGGAATTTTACATATTCTTTCACAGGCTCTGGTCATGGCTACTTGTCACGACAGATCCTGTGGCATATTCTGCGAAAACCCCAGTGTAAGGACATAGAGTGCAGGTGATTCTTCCTCACTGAACACATAAGGTGCAAGATCGAGCCTGAGTTTCTAAAATTTTGTGATGAAGGTAGTAGATAATCTAAACGATATTACTTGTAAAGTTAATAGAGAATTGGTGCCCTCGAAAGGATACACTGCTGTTTTGTTTCTGTTCTCCAGAGCACTACTTTGTAACTTTCTCTTACACCTAGCCAAGAAATACACAAGCAGGCTAGCAGAACACACCCTGCTGCCCTATGCAACTTGGCGGCCAGCAATGCTGCCCACAAAAACAACTGCTAAATGCTGAACTTCTTTTGTGTTGAAGGGTTTAAAGTTGAATTTATTAATCTTTTATGACAGAAGAAACATGGCAGTGTGAGACACCTCAATTTAACACAGTAAGTTATCACATACTTCTAAAAGATCTTTTAAAATGCAGATTTTTTTTTTTACATTCTTCATGTTTTAATGGAGTATAAGCATATATTAATAAATTATTTGGCTTTCTATGAGTTTGTAGCATACCCTGATTAGCTGAGAGGGGGGAATAATTTAAGCAGACCTTTTGAAAAGTTGATAGTAGTGAATAAATACCATATAAATATATGTTATAGAGCTATATGAGGGTATGTGATTTGGTTGATGTCTCATTAAGAGGCATATTTAATATGTAACAGAAAATGATTTACTTTCCACAAATGGACCACAATCTTCAAGCAATAGCTGCTCACACGTCTCATTTAAAACCAATAAAAACAGATTAGAAAATCGGGGGGGGGGGGGGGGTGTTGAGAGGGGAGGAAAAAAAGAGTGAGAACTACCCATCGCAGACTGACGGAAGGCTTTCTCACATAACCTCCTCACTGAGTCCTTACTACGTCGCAGGTTGTTGGCAAGGGCGAGGGACGGCTTTGGCAACCCTTTGCTTTTAACTCCGCGCACCCCGGGGCGGGGGCTGCGGGCAGACTCTCCCCCTCTCTCGTCCCCGCCCGCCGCAATGTCCCACCAGCTCCGAGTCGCCGCGGGCCGTCGGGCCGCCCAGCTTCGCACCTCGGCGGTGCCGCGGCCGGCCGGGGCAGCCGGGGCGGGGGTCGCCGGGCGGGGCGGGGGGGTCCGGGCCAATGAGCGGCGCGGCGGAGCCGGGTGTCCCTCGTGCGGCGGCTGCATGGGGAGGGCGGCGGCGGCCGCGGGGCGAGCGGTCCCGGCGCGCCCCCGCCCACCCACGGGCCGGGACTGAAGGAAGGGGCGGTGCCGCTGCCCGAGCACAGGTACGGCGGTGTCGGCGTCGCGGGCGGGTGCGGAGCGCCCTCCTCCCGGCGGCGCCCGGCGGGGGATGTTCCGGCCGCCGGGGGCGCGCCGCCCGTGGGAAGCGCGCTCCTAACGCCACCTGGGCGTCGCAGGGAGCGCTCGGCTCAGAGTGGGCTGTGTGGGGTCTCCGGGAACCGGGCAGGTAGGAAGGAGGAGAAATGCCGGTTCGGGCGGGAGCTTTTGAGTGTTTGTCCTCCCTAGCGTGCGCGGTGTCAGCGGCGGGGAGCGGCGTGCGGCGCAGCCCGGGCCGGCAGCGCAGCAGGGCTCGCCGCGGGGAAAGTTGTGCGGGCGGTCCCCGCTTCGGAGCGGCTGAGGAAACGCAGAACCCTCCGTCCAGCCGGGGCGGGGGGCTGAGGCTGTGGCAGCGGCGGTGGCCGCCGGAGGGCTCCGCGTGCTGCGGCGGGGCTGCTCCGCTCCCGGGGGGACTCGGAGGAGCGGCCGCTCCCGTGGGCTGCTGCGCCCCTGGAGCAGCGCGGCGCCGTCCGCCCGCCCGCCGTGCGCCCCTGGCTCCGTGGGCTTGGGGATCGCGGCTGCACGGTACGCTGTCCTGCCTTGTGGCCGCTCGCCCCGGAGCCCGGAGCAGGGCTCGACGTGCCGCCGGGTGTCGGGCTGGTCCCGCTGGAGCAGCGAGGAGTGCGCGGCCTCTCCCGGGCAGGTGGTTGACAGTCCCCGCGGCTGTGCGGTGTCCGCTCCCCTCTGGATCAAGCGCGGCTCCTCGGGACTGCGCGCCGGAGTGCGGGCTGGAGTTTGGGAAGCATCGCTGGGTAGGGTGTGCGCTGCCAGCGCGCACACAGGAGTGTCTGAAGCAGAGCCCTAAGCGTTTACTTAAAACCAGAACTAGCCGTATTCCTTTCACTGTGCAAGTCTCGGGGACAGAGAAACCCAAACGGACTCCTGTGCAGGGCTATGGATCGGCTCGTGTGGGTTTTCATACTGATTAACTGCCTTCTGATTGCCTGGGATTACTTTGGAAAAACGCAAATCCCAGCTAATATCTGTGCTGACCATATATAGAAGTAGTCACCGACAGAAGTACTATAACTTCAATATTGCTGACACAGGTCGAGAAACTTTAAAAACAGCAAGAAAAAGCTGGGATTTCTCCTGAGGATGTTTTTGTCCAATAGATATATTTTTCAGTGTTTGCATCCTACATTGACTGAATTATTTCTACCTTTTGTTTGTTTGTTTACCTGCCTATACACCTCAAATTTAGTGAATGATATATTGATTTTATTTTGTCTGCCTCTATTTAATCTGGCAGTGTTTGGTTTGCTTACTCGTATTGGACCAGGACTGCAGTAGGGAATGCTGCTTTCTCTGGAATAGAAGCCTGGTTTGGTGGCTTTCAGAAACGTGCCTCAGCTTGGAAGCAAGCACGTTGCTGATACAGTAGCAATTTTCCACGACATGGAAGAAGTATTGTAGGATTTTCTGGTGTTGTGTGTTTTATATTCTCTTTTTTTAAAAAAAGAAATACATTTGGTTGTTCGTTTTTTAAATAGCTCTGCTATTACCAGAGGCTTTTATGTGTACATTATTGTCCTGTGGAGCAATATGAAGACCAATGCTGAATCTCATTCAAAGTGTTTTTATTTTAGTATCATGTGCATGTTAACTCCAGCAACAGGGTACAAGAATATGTTGTCTTGAGCTGAAACACTGAAAACAATTCTCTTGGACTGTTTTGGATGTAGCAGTTTTGCTGGATTTTAGTAACAGAGAGATGAAATGCTCCAGGGATAATCCAGTGTGAAATTCATCTGATTTACTGGCAGCCATATGAAAACACGTTGCAAGTTCTCTTGTTCTACCAGATACACTATGCTATCAAAACCAGAAATTCAGTTTTGTACATTTTCACATTTATTAAAAAAAAAAAAACAAAAAAAAAACCCAAAACCAATCTAATTTATTACAGAAACTGTTGTGAGGTGTGAATTCCTCTCATTTTCAAGTAGATGAATAGTAACTTTCTGGAGGGAGCTGACTGCATACGTTATGTCATACATCTGTATATTGTCTACTACAGTGCATTTTTCTTTCTGTTAGTGGATAAAAAAATCTTACTCATAGCAATATAGTCTGCATCCAACAGCTTATTAATGTATTTTTAGAGCAGCAGTCTCAGAGGTAGGTTTTCACAGTGAAAACCAACCATGACCGTATGAAATATCATAAACACAATGCTCAATGGTGCCTTAAATTACAGTTCTAAGTATCAGTGTTAAGGAGTAAAGTGTGTTGGTTGATTTGTAAGCTGGTCTAAAAAATTGTCACACTACGCTTTTCATTCTAAACCTATAGTAGCTGCTCTAAAATGATCCAAGCTCCCTTTCTTGAATTAGTATTTGGATTTTAGTCTTAATGCCATGAATGTTTTCAGGGTCAAATCCTGAAATGTTAAAGAAAATCTTGTGATGACTAATGAGGAAATTTCTTCCACATGAATACTACAGCGTTATGGTTCTTATGTTCATATTTTCTATTCTCCCTCAGTCTTCATTGTAGCAGACAACCTAATTGTGTACTTTGTGCCAGCAATTACTGTGCTTACGCAGTGCTATGTGACTCAAAAAGGAAGGGGTGCAAAAGGTGCTTGACACTAGGAAAACGTTTGAAGTGATCTGGATGACCTTAATTAATATTGTTCATTATCCTATTACGTCTTGTTTGCCATTAAGAGGAGATGGTGTTCTGAGGAGGAGGCGAATATCTGTGCAATATCTGAAGGCAATGAAAGCTCTGCTCAGTGCATGTAAACCCATGGCTGCTTAGTTTAGTACAAAATATGATTGTAGGGTTTATTAATACTAATGGTATCTTTTACTGTAATGGCAGATGCTCATTTAATGAAGATATATAATTAATCTTTAAAATAAGGAGCAGTATCAATAGGATTATGTGGGGGAGGATATGCGATGCCATCTCAGTATCCTTATTTGTATTTAAGTACCATAGTTTGTGAATAGGTGACAGATGTTTGAATGGACCTGTAAGCCTGGAATAAAAAGAAAGAGCCTGGTAATACCAAAAGTTTACTGTTTCAGAAATCCATTCAATAGTGTTGCTACTTTCTTTGTGACTTTGTTCTGTGTCTTTTTTCTATTGAAGAATATCAGTTCTGCTGGGCTACATGGTTTCTGTATGTGTGAAACTGTCAGAGGTGCTGGGAGAGTGTCCATCACCTCTACAAGCAAAAAGTGTGCCTCCTAGTCCACACAACAGTGTTGCAGCATATACCAGGCTATGTTCCTGATGGTGTTGGGGTGCAAAACATAAATAAATTCACTATAAGCCTGTTGTGCCATGATTAGATCAAGACTTCATGCGCAGGAGTTGTCTTATTTTTGTTTTAAGAGAGGATAAAAGCAGGCTGCAGTATTTTCTATTTATTGTGCCTTGGTTGAGTGCCAGCAGAATGCAACCTTGTCCATGTATGCCTGGCTAGGAGATTCAGTGAGGGCAAAGACAGAATCCACTCTTGGGAATGTAAAATGTTGAAATTACTGACTGTAAAATAGGTGACGATAGGCAATTAACCCCCTCGCATATTCTAAGTATGTGGTTAGTTTCATGCTGGAGGCATCTGTTGGTCTAAAGGAGGGAAGGCTTAAGTGAGTTTCTTTATAAAGTGCTTGCAAACTGGAGGCAAAGTTTTTTCTGTGGATGGAAAAACAAAAGGTGTCAGTTATATTACGAATGAGAAATATTTGGTTGCTGTAATGAGAGCTGGAGGTAGTTTCATACTTGTCTAAATTAATCCTGATGGAGATAGTTACAGAGAAATAATTAATAGTACAGCTTCAGTATGGATTATTGGAAAATGTTTTCCTGGGTATGATTTGATAATACAGATACTTGTCAATGTCATTACCTTCTCTTCTATGTTTTCTATGCTTTCTTGAGTAAGATGGAGTAAACAAAACCTTTTTAATTTAAAACAGTTTCCTGCAAGCAAATTCAAAGTTTTGTTCATTTAGCCCAGTGCAATTTTAGCCACAGTATCAGAATTCCATGCACACCAAACATCTGATAAATTGTCTATTTTGTGTTGCGGGCATTAGGCCCAGTCTTGGTCTCCAGGAGGTTGTGGCTGCTCTACGAGTTTGTAGAGAGTTCTTGTGAGGGTAGGGAATGTGACTGGGGGCTTCCAGGATTGTTGAGTTATGTTCAACGAGTTGATGGACTTGTGCTCTATAATGATGCATATTTTTGCTCTATAATGATCTATATTTTTGCTTTTCCTCTCTGGATAAGAAGGCTGTGTGATGATGATGTGTAAGGTTAACCTCTCACCTTATTTGGATAATAATCTGTCCTCATTCATTCCTGTGGAAAGAAGATTAATTATGGCATACAAAGATTTGTAATAAAAAAAGTCAAAATTTTACCTTTTACAGATAAGTTCATAGACTGAGAAATTTGGAAGGAAGGGATTTAAAAATACGTTTGAAGCTACTTGTACTCTTCTCTGTGTGTACATCACTTCTCTTAAAGAAGACACCAGGGGTTGGCCAAGGGGCTTTGTTACAATATTGTTTACCCACTGAGCTCTAGCTGCATGTAACATTTTGTCCATTACTACCTTATTTGACAGCATTAGATGTACTGGAACCAGACGCTGAGGACCTCTAAGGCTCCATGTCAAGTATGGAGAGACAACTTTACAGGTGAAATGTATAAAGTTGTGACAACAAAAATTGTCCTGCAGGCTCATTATTCTTGGCTGTCCCTCTCATAAACAGGAGAAGACCCTTCCAGCATCTAGGATTAATGGGTTTCAAGAAAGCCTCTCAACGTTCCTGCATGAAGGTATGAGGTATCAGCTGTAGCGCCTAGAGGAAATAAACCTGACAGTTTTGAAGGGGAAAAATGCTATCTATCATCCACAAGGATTTATAAAAAGCCTCCATTATTTCATTATGAAATAAGGAAATACGAGTTCAGTAATTATGTGGGATTCTAATAGCGGGAAATACATTATTAAGGCTGTCAAATCATACATTAAGAAAAATCTCACTAAATATATACTGAAGAAGCAAAGCATTCCATTTTCTTCTGCCTTGCACTGCAGTCACATAGAGCCACACTACATGCTTTATAGGATTGAAATAACAAGCCAAGCCTTTAAAAAACCCA